CCCCCCCACCACCTGGGCAACAGACTCCCACCCCCCCGCAATACCCCAGCCCTGCAGTAAACACCCTGCACCCACCTGGGCTTTGCTGAGGCTTAATCTGGCTAAAACCCCCCTAAAACCCCCCACATTTTGGGGTTTAGTTACCATTTTTGGCCCTCATTTGCCCAGCAGTGGGGTCCCTTTCTGTGTGGCCCCCCCCCAAGGTCTCAGCACTGCCCAAGGAGGTATTTCTTGCTCAAGGCCTTGGCACGAGGTGGTTCGTCTCTCGTCCCAGCCCACACCAGCGTTTGGCCATGTTGGGCAACAGGGACCCAGGGCCTTTGGGAAGGGGGTGGCAGCTGCCACAGCCCCCCCACCCTGCCCAGCCCGTGGGTTGGAGGTCATGGACCCCCCCAGCCCCACAGGGCAGACACTTGGGGTCAGCTGCGAGGGACAAGCAGCAGTAGAGGGTTGGGGGGGACACAGGCAGCCCCCCCGGGGTTCAGCACAGCACAGGGGCTTTGCCAACACACCTGGTGCTGCTGTGCCGAGATGCCGCATCTCCCCCCCTGGGGACCCCGAGATGCTGCCACAGCCCCAGGCGGGTCAGGGGAGCGCGTGATGGCCAAGCCGGCCCCACGGCAGCCGGCTCCAGGCTGGTGTTCATTAACCAACGCGTTTTTGCTGCTCTCAGCACCTCTGCCCCCGCGCTGGGGCTCCCGCTGCCAGCGGCAACCCCCCCCCTCCATTGCATGCGCATCCCCAGGGATGGCCGAGGGGTTCCCGGGGCACCCCCTTCATACCCCAGCCCCCCCCCCAAGGGACCCCACTGACCTGCTGAGTCCCCGCTTGAGGTGCAGAAGCAGCGGCCACTCGTAGAGCAAGGGCATCCCAGCCTCAAACCAGTCCCGGCCACGGAAGACTGGGGAGATGCAGGCAGCGGCGGCCAGGCGGCTGGAGGAACCGCTCTCCCCCAGGTAGGCGAGCAGTAGCCCCGAGCCCGAGCCCTCGCTGACGGCCAGCAGCGGGGCAGCCGGGTGCCGGTACCGTAGGTAGGTCACCGCCTCCCGTAGGTCCCCGGGGTCCCCGAAGGGCTGGAGTCGGGGGGTGGTGAGGGGACAGCCGTTGTGGCCCCGACGGTTGAAGATGACGGGGACGAAGCCCCGCTCCAGCGCCCGCAGCCCCAGCCGCAGCAGCTCCCCCGTCACCTTCCCAGCGGCGTTGGGGATGAGCAGCAGCACCGGGCTGGGGCCCCCGCCGCAGCCCCCCGCGGCCCCCCACGGCCCCACCAGCCAGTCCAGGGCCACCAGCCCGGCATCGGGCAGCTGCAGGAGCTCCCGGGCCACCGCCGGCTCCGGCTCGGGCGGCTGCAGGAGCTGTCGCAGCATCTGGAGCCGGGGCCAGCGCGACCACGGCCAGCGGCCCCCCCGCAACGCCGCCGAGCGCCCCAAGCTCCGCACCAGGTGCTGGGCCAGCGCCGAGGGCTTGCACAGCAGCCGGCAGCGCCCTGAGCCATCCTCAGTGATGAAGGGGATCCCCTCCTCTTCCTCCTCCTCCTTTCCCGAGTCTCCAGGCACCTCCAGCCTCCCTGCCCAAAGGCGCCAGGCCAGGAGGCCCAGGCCGGCGAGCACCGCAGCCGCGGCCACCAAACCCTCGGGGGACACCATGGCGGGAGCCCCGGCCGGCAGCCCCCGGTGCTCGGCGGGTTCGCAGAGCGATGGCGGGGCCGTGCTGGGAAAGCCCTGCCCCGGGGCTGGGCGAGCGGTGGGGCCATGGCGGGGACACGGCGAGGCTGTGCCGGGGACGGCGTGACTGGCCGCCAGCAGTGGCCAAGGGGACTGGGTGAAACGGGAAGGACACGTGGCCAAGCTCTGCCCGGCGCTAGGGGGGTGCGAATCCCCTACAGCCATGCCCCGGGGGGGGACGGGACCCCCCCATCGCCACAGGAGCCGTGGGCCAAGGGCCCGTGCAATGCTCACACCTTTATTGATACAAATGTACAAGGACACATCTTACAGTAGGGAGCGTGGCCCCGGC